CAGCTCTCAGGGGAGTGCTATATGACATCAAAAGCCTGATCAGTGCTTAAAGACTTGTTACGTGTATTACAGATATAGTTGTAGTTAACTTCTGGTGGTTTGTTTTTTTTTTTTTTTGCTAGTTGGTACAGAAGTTTTCTAAATGTCCTGCTGTGATTGAAGCTGAGAAGGGAGGCAGACTTCAGATGTTTGATGGCTGTGTCAGTGGTGAATATGCAGAATTGGTAAAAAGCTCCTACTTTGAATTTTAAAAATGGGGGTGTGGGTGTTAGCTTCTTCTCTGAGCTAAAAAGTAACATAAGTAAGTGTCTGGCATTTCAGCTTCTCTGATGCATATTTAGCTCCTCTGTTTCAAAGCTAAAAAACCTGCTATTCAGTTTTGTGAATTTTTTTTTTTCTTCCCCATCAAAAGAGGGGGTGCTGACTGCACCTAATGACCTGCGCTGGGGGAGAAAGCTCTCAGCACCATCCTATTTTACTAGGAGTGAGAAGGCAGGTTTAAGGCATATCTCCCAAATCAGTATCAGTTATTCTTATAACAGGAGAAATTATCTCTGTTCTTTCAGGGAAAATGCTACACTCTCCCTGCCCAAATGCTTTTGAAAATAGAAGGGAACAATTGGTAATTAGAGCGCAGCTCCATTTTTGAAACCTTTGAAAAACCACTTTCGCAGTTGCTGAGCTTAGACTTGGTATCTTAAGTCCATCCAGATGACAGGCAGTAAGTATCGCTGACAATGAGGCAGTTTTTATAAAGCAAAGCCTTGGAAAAGGGGAATCTGTTCAACATAATAAAATTTGTTGTTGACTCAGAAAGGGCTCAGTCTGGAAATGTAAACACTGCAGAACTGTTACACCTGAGGCTGGCGTCACTGGTAACGCCTCATTAGGGAAGTTGAGGGAAGTCAGTTACATTCATCAGCCTTTGCAATGAGATAAGGAGCTGTTTAGATGAAACAGAATATAAACTTAGTGGAAACAATGAACCCGATTCAGCCCAAACCTCAGCAGACTTGATGCATGTGCTTCTGCTGAAGCGGTACCTGGTGGCAGGCTGTAAATGGTTTTTATGCAAGACTGCCTAACTTGTGCGTTCAAGCAGGCTGGACTGCTTCACCAAAAATCAGGGGTGTCATGCTTAGAAATTTCAGCAGTGAAAACATGACACCCACTGGTGCCCATGTCGAAGTCTGCAAGAAAACCAACGTTTTATGTTCAGTAACTAATCAGCCTGACCTTTTCCCATAGAGAAAACAAACCAATGGAATGTGGCAAGCCGAGTGCTTGACAAAACCAGTTTATTTAAAAAACACCCCACACTCTCTGTATTGTTAACATGCATGTGTCTGCTAGTACAGAAGATAATGCTTGTGTCCGTATTTTTCAGGGGAGAATTAGCACTGAGTAGTGACAATGTGAATTATCTCAAATGCTAATGAGAACCCCCTTCTCTTCGGACAGGTGCCAAGCCAAAGAATTGTCCTGAAGTGGAGGTGTAGAAGCTGGCCTGATGGTGAGTCTCTTTGAGGACCTCTGGTAAAAGCCACGCTTGGTAGGGAGAAGGGACAGGCACACCAGGTGACAGCCTCGCTAACTGGGAGCTCTCTTGGTCTGCGTTCTTTGGGGAACAGCTCCATGTCTGTGGCGGGTGTCATCTGTGAAAAGAGGCTTTGCACAGACACAGGCAAAAGCAGACAGAAATGAGCAACAACAACAACTGTGATCTTTTAAAAAACACTCTATTGAAATGTCCTGTTTTCCTCCTTCAGAACATTACGCAACGGTTACCTTGAACTTCAAGGGTATGGCTGCTCAGACGGAACTGCAGTTAGAGTGCAGAGGGGTTCCTGTCGCTAATGAAGACAGCACAAGACAATGTTGGAAGAAACAGTATTTTGAAGGAATACGTGCTTTATTGCAGCAATCCAAAGACAACACGGAATGATAACAGCACTCTCCTTTTGTTAGGGCATTACTTTTTATACTTTGTTAACGTTTGGGGTTTTTTTTAAAAGTAATTTATTTGTGGGAAGAATAAAGACCCACTTCTATCATACTGTATATAATTTAAGCATTATTTACAGATTTTTAGTGAATGAGGTGGCGAGTAAGTCAGACTATGTATATAAACAGCTTTACTTGGGACTTGATCTCTGTTCTGCTTGCCTGCAACTTAACTTCAGAGAGCAAAGATGATTCAGCTGCAGCGAGGTACTGCCATCACGGGCAGGTAAGCTGCATGAATCTGTGGGAAGCATTTGCTGTTCTGTGACTCTTCAGTGTTACTGAGTGGCAAAATTAAATCCCTCTAGATGGGGTTCCCATCAGAGGTGAAGTGAAAGGGACTCTAAAACTGCTGATGCCATAGATCTTTCAGGAAGTGGGGGGATATAGTTTACAGCCTCTTTAAATACTTCTCAAGATTGCTTTAACTGCAGACTGCATGTGTTTCTAACGCTGTA